AGAAATTGGTAGGTAAGACTTCAAATCAAGAGGAGACTTACCCGCTTTGAGTACAGGAACGATGTTCGTGATTTTCCACGCTTGTGGAACATGACAGTTTGTCCATGAGTCATTAAATATCTAAAGCAGCAGCTGGCGCGCTGCTGGTCCTAGGTGGGCAAGTGTACCGTAAGTGATTTTATATGGACCAGGCGAGGAAGAGTGATCAAGGGAGGCTAAAACTTCATCTAGTGCTGGCGCACTGAAGATGGCATTCATGGGAGTTGAAAAAGGAGTATAGTGAAAATGTTCAGCGCTTAAATGCAGTGGAACATCGTCGTTTAAGGCTGGCAGAACGAGTGAAGCGCAAAACTCTTCAGCGATGTTACGTGGCGAGCACCCTGTGTGGAACGATAACGCAAGAAAGGGCGATTTTGTTGCGGTTGGAATCTTAGTCCGCGAGCAACGTGCCATATTTTTGACAGTGGAACACGGGGATCAAATGAGGAAGCACATGTTCTTCTCCACTTCTTCCGACCTAGTTTATCCAAGTGACGCCCTGAGTGCGCCTGACTACTCGTACGTCAGCAGCTAATATGGTTCGTCGAGCGCGACGCTCTGCCCGTTGACGAATCGCTCGAAGTTTTTCGTATTCCGCATCCACAACGGTGCGCGAGGCTGGAAGACGGACAGTCCTGGTCGCTTCCGTCGCTGATAGCTCTATCGTTGAGACAAACTTCCCTTAAGTGCTTGTTACTTGCAGGCGCAGTTCCACATTGTCTCGAAAACATGGCCAATCTATATATGAAGTGAGAACATGATTATAATAATTTGCTTGGAACCCTCTGACCGTTATGTAGGTAGGCATATGGTCACTGCCATGAGTCTTTATATCAACAAGCCAGAAGTTTTGGGACAGGAGTTCGCGCGACATGAACGCAACATCTAAGCAACTACTGCAGCGACTACCTCGAATGAACGTAGGTGAACCATCATTCAGGAGACATAGGTCATGAGAGTCCGCCAGATCGAGTAGCTCTCGTCCCCGTGGCGTCGCCCTTACACTGCCCCACGCCACATCATGGGCATTGAAATCACCTACCAACAATATCTGTGATTTGCATTGTCGAATAATATTATCTACTCTCGAGATATCGAAGCCGCAGGCCGGAGCTATGTATACAGCAGTAACTGTGAATGTAAGTTTTCCCTTTCGAAATGTGACACTCACATACTTATTGTCCGGATGAGAGGCGATATCATGTGACAGATGGGTTAGGTCTTTCCAGAGCGCGAGAAAAAATCTACTAATGCCATTAGGACGAACCCACTGAAATATTTCATATCCCGAAAGTCGAAAGCCGGATGCTACGCGTGATTCGCCAATAACTAAGGTAGGAAAGTGATATTTGAACATAAGCTGTCGGAAGTCGGAAAGCCGATGACGAAGTCCTCTCACGTTCCACTGAAAAACGGTCGCATTTTTAACTCTCTCTTGAAATCACAAAACGCAACCATTATTCTGATGCGAATTTCCTGCCATCGCGATAACAGCGGGTTCAAATACTAGAATTCCTTGCAGAATGCATTTCAAGGCGCATGATGGTAGTTGTGCCGTGAAACTTCGTAGGGCAGAGAAGACAAGGCAGATGATATCGCCAATTGTCATGGAGCAGAATACGGAAGGTGCAAGTTCCTGGAGACGCTTAACAGCTGAGACAACGTCGCTGTATGTGCGCCTGTTGGCCGTGCGGAAAAATACGTCTGTAGCTTTGAGCTCATCTGAAGAGGTAGCGGGCTTGTGAGGAGATCCTTGGCTTGGCGTTGGTGTGATTGTTGCAGATGCCCGAGTCTTCTTCTTGGTCTTCTGTGGCGGCCCCTTAGGCTTCGCACCCTCTTCGACTACGCTAGGCGTTTCGTGGGCATCTGCAGTGTCCGTTGCACTAAAAGTAGCGCTTTTTGGAATTGTGTCCTCGTTCGACGGCGAAGTGCGCTTTGGCCCATGAACAAACTGCTTTGTTCTGGCTAGGGCTTTCAGGCGCACCTTGCAATTTACATATTCTGCAGGGTGGTCACCACCGCAGTTTGCACACTTGACAGCCGTTTCTCCCGGGCAGTCCCTCGTTAAGTATGATTGAGCACATTTCTTGCACTCGGCGTCTCCTTTGCAATATTTTGCAACATAACCAAGCACTTGGCACTCGAAGCACCTGGACGGCGCTTCGATGTGCTCGCTGACCTCGTGTTTGATGAATCCGAGGCTTATTCTGCATGGGCGTTCTGTGTTGGGGCGGAAAGTTAAGACTGCCTTGTCGGTTGGTTGGGCAGCTTCCCCAGGTTTTCCTCGGCGTCGGTAGAGTCGACGGGCTGCAATGACCCTGTCTTGCTGCAGGAACGTTGCCAGCTCGGCGTCCGTGTGCCAAAGGGCTACGCCTCTGATTATACTACAGTTCGTTAGATATGTTCTGGGCACCGTGGCTTGAACGGGAACTCCGCCGAGGCTGCGGACCTTCAAAAGGCGGTCCACTGTGGCGTTTTCAGCGACTTCTACTAGAAGTCCGCCTCTGGCAGTGAAACGATTTCTAGTTATGGCAGCCGCCGCCTCCGCGTTTACTTCGGCGCTCAAGCTCAACGGATTTTGATGTTGCAAACGATGTCCTTCATTTGCAGGCACAAAGAGGACAGGGATGCCAGTTGTTCTCTGACGACGATGCTCCACGAGAGCGAACCCCTCAATATCGCCCTCGATGAGCTCTTGTTTCATTGAGTCGCTCTCCGCTGCCATTTGTTTGGCAGGCGTTAAAGCAGAATTGTCGCCTTCACCGCCGCGTCGTCTACCGAGGGTAGAGCGCGCGGGTGAGACGTCTTAAGTGGCGAACGTGCGGTCTTCGTTTGGAGATGTCTGTGAATAACATGAAGACCCGGTCGCTGATGCTAGTGCAGAAGTACCGGGTCAAAGGTCATGTCGTATTTCGGGTTCCCCGAAGGGACCCTGCCGTGAGGAGCTGTAACCGGTTGTCCCTGGCCGCGGCTGGTGCTTTCGGGTCTCTTCTCTTTATGTCCGAGCGCATCCAAATGTATTCAAAGCTTGAAATACTCAAAAACGTGAGGGCAGAGAAAAGAACGGTAATTACTTCTTGAATAGTCGTCTTCCTCGATGGCAACTCAGCCATGTCAGTCGATCATCAGTGTAGATCGAGGTGTCTTCTTTTTTTTCTGAGTTCACGACCATTATACTTCGTTTCAGCTTCGGTCCAGACGCAGCCAAAGCTACAAGCGCGAGCTCCGGGCTTTCAGCATTCATGCCAAGCACGCGCGCTCGTGCAGTGCAAGCACTGTTCTGGGCCACATGCTCGCGCTTGTAGCATCGGCTGCGTCTGAACCGAAGCTGAAACGAAGTATAGTGCAGATATTCATCGCATTTGTCACTTCGTTTACCTTTTTCATGATAAATACAGTAAGCACCTAGTTGTGAGTAACGTTCTTTCCTATCGCTGTCTCCTTCCTGTGTTGCCTTTGCGCTACATTGTAATTATAGGTAGCTCAATTGGCAGAAGTTCGTCAGCTCGCCCGACTCCGGATTAAAGCCCAACAACGTGTCGGCACTGGCCGCTACAACCTTCGTCGTCGGGACGTCCACTTCCAGCCCGGAGACAGGGTGTGGGTCTGGACAGCGATTCCCCGCCGTAGTCTCAGTGAGAAACTCCTTAAATGGTGTTTCGGTCCCTACAAGGTACTTCGTCGACTTGGAGATCTGAACTACGAGGTGATGCCCGACAGAACAAGAACATCATCACGCCGCCCACCACGACCTGAAGTCGTCCACGTCGTGCGTCTGAAGCCGTACTACGCTACTGCGGACCTTATGTGTTCTAAATTACTCTTTATTTTGCCTTTCTTTTTATTTGCTTTGTTTTGTTTTGAGCTGCATCGGGGCGATACACTTTAAGGGGGGGAGTAATGCACCGCGCGCAGCCAGTCAAGTAGGCAGCGCGGCCGTGGCCTAACGGTTATCGTGCTTGTTTCCCACGCGAAGAGCCAGGGTTTGATTCCTGGGAGCGACGCGTCTTTTCTATATTCTTGCAATGTAGTGTTCTGGTAAATTTGAGAACTCTGCTGCAGATTCGAGGTCAGAATGTTTTTCACGCCGATTCTTCTACGCAGATTGTTCCAGAAGCCCACGTGTGTACAAAAGGGGCTCCGCGTGGCGAGCCGGAGTCAGTCTCACCCCAGCGTTTGATCCTGCTGTTACGCCGCTATCGACGCCCGCGAAACTTTATTGTAATCTTCGGCATGGAACAAATATGCTGCGAATAACCGACGAAATTTGCCCGGCGGCTTTTGCTCTGCGCGTGGAATCAACACACTGGCTGCTATGTCACGCGCAAAGCGAGCGTGCTGTCGGGCGGCGTTCGTTAGTTATTCGTTCCTTTAAACGTTCATTTATTTCTGTTTATTTAATTTTCTTTTGGTCACCTCCCGTGACAATATATAGGAAGCAGGGTGGAGCGCTAAAGTTACCTCTGGTACAGCAGGAGCGAGGCTACCGACTCGTGCCCGCGCGGTATTTTCCTCTTTTATCCGCATTTTTTTGCCCACGCCTCGCGCCTGTTGCACGGGTTTTGATGCACTGCTGGGCTTTCCACGCGCTCAAAGGATTCATAAAATTGCCAATTTAATGGTTTTTATCTAGATTTTTTTTTTCTATTTGCACTAAAAACAATTTTTGTTAAGTATTTGACTTGTGACAATTATACCCCTGTATAGTGTTCTCTTATTCGTACAACTTACCTGCACAGACCGTATTAGTGTAGCTGTCACTGCTTTCTAGCGCGACCTTCGACAAAGCTGGGCGCGTCTCGCGCTCCTCTAGCACGGGCGTGCAGCCAGAGCACAGTGCGGAACGCATGGAGCGCGTGCTATAGGAGCCGGCTGGTTTAAGGACACGCCGTTGTCGCCCAAAAAGCGGCAAAAGAAAAAACGGGCTTCCGAAAACGGGTCCCGACAAAAAGTAGTCTCACCATCGGCGTCGAAGGCCTTGCATTTGCCGTCTGGCGACAGCGAGCCGAGGCGGTGAAAGTTGAGTGCCTTGGCGGGCTTGAGCGTGAGCGTGCTGCCCCCGACCAGGGCAGCCTCGCACTGTCCCGAGCGCACTGCCAGCATGGCCTGGTTGAGCGCCATTATGGCCGACGAACTGCCCGTGTCCACAGTGAAGCTTGGCCCTGGGAAATCATCCAAGCAACGCCGCCCGTCAAGCCTCCTTCCACGCCACAAACCGCAACGTTACGGAGTCTCTCTAGATTTGTTGAAGTCGAAAGTTCAATGAGCACACCTGTTGGACTTTGCCACCAAAGTTGTATTTGACGAACGGCCCCAAAAGTTAAGTCTTTGTCCCTGAGAAGCTTCTATTGGCTCGAACAGCAGCCGAGGGACCCCCTTCCCCTTTCGACATTCATTAGATAAGGCAGCGCATAGCAGGACGCTCAAATAGGCCAATCAGGGCCGGGAATTCGCTCTGTGGTTTTACTCCCTGAGGAAATCGCTCACCGTTGAAGTCGAGGCAGTAGGAGACGCGGTTGGCGAACATGGCCCGGCAGCAGCCGACCAGGGCGTGGCCGTCGATCTTGTCTGTGTCCTCGCTGAAGGCCTCGTAGGTCTCAGAATCGCTGCAGCCCATGAAGACGCCGACCTTGCGTCCCCGCAGCGTGCCCGGGTCGTAGCCGGCGTCCACGATCGCCTCGTATGACGTCTCGAGGAATAGTCACAGCTGCGGATCCATTACGCGCGCCTGCTTCGTCTGCACGCCGAAGAACTGCGCGTCGAACTGGGACAGGTCCCGGATCTTGCCGGACCGTCCCGGAAGGCCCAGCAGCCCTGCAAGAAGAAAAAAAATGGTTGTTTTTTTTCCAAAGGGCTTCGAAATGTAGGCATTCCTCATTCGCGCTCCTCTCTTTAGCGGGCAGAGGCAGACTGCGAGGATTCTTTATCTATCACAGGACACTATGGAGTCACGTGACGTCACAGTTTCACGTGACGTCATCGACGCTACATGTTACGAACACAAAATCTCATGAGGCTGGCCCTGTAAATGCAATAAAACAGCTCGCTATACAAGAAGGGTCCGCGCATTTCTTTGCTTCTCTCAACGCTCGGTATCTTAGGGGGAAAAAAAAGAGCAAGATTAGCCCGTAGCTGTTTTCGAACGTTTTTTGGCACTCTCAAAGCCAATCACCTATAGTACGTTGCAACTCAAGAACGTAGGGCGATGGTACAGGCCCGTTCACACTCTTGCAACCGAGTACGACCGAGAGAGACCAGACGGGTTTTTAAGCCTCTTGCGATCTCTTAGGACCGGCTCCGCTGCCGCGCATCCGGTCCTAAGAAGTCGCAAAACGCTTAAAAACCGGTCTGTTCCCTTTCGGTCTTACTCAGTCGCAAGAGTGTGAACGGCGCTTAAGATGGGCCGGCGAGGAGGAAACAGACGGAACGCTGGAGAGGAGAGGGGAAAACGCCGTTTTCTTTTGGCGTTCCGTCTGCTTCCCCCTCCGCGACCCGTCTTACCCTCGCCCTACGTTCTTGAGTTGCAACGGACTATAGTTAGTTATATCGTGCGTTCTTTTTTTTTTAAATGAGAATATCTAAGCTGTAGGTGATTAGTGAGTTTGGAAAGGCTTCACTTAGTAACCGTCTGGATTTTGTGATGATTTTGTGCACAACACGAACATATGAGCATAGCCCAGTGTGAGTACAGCCAAATACGACTACACACAAATATTAGCACAGACCAACATGAGAATAACCCAGTGCGAGCATAGGCTAATGTGTATATAGGCCAACGAGAGCTAGTTTAATAGACCACTCTGGAAAAAATACAGAGCGCTTCTCATCGCCCTTTCAACACTCTGGCAATCCCATGTGCGGCCCGTGAAGCAGTGCCCATAGATAGGCGCTGTTCATGTTTGTTGAGCGTTTGGGGATTTCAGAACGCAAAGAAAACAAGACGATGACCAAACGGGATACGCTTTGTGATACGTTCCCTATGTTTTCTTCGTGTTCTGAACTCGGAGTGTCAACAGAGAATGAATTGAGCCACTTGCAAAATGTACGTAAAGTTTACATGGGAACGGCCCTACAATTCTCCAAATCTGTTTGCTTGACTTAATATTCTCCATGTCACCAAAAACTAAACATTCTTTCTCGAAGAGGGCGATAAGGAAAAACCGTGACGCAATCCTCTTTCTGCACCCTGAAGCAGACACTAGGGTGCAGCGTCGGACGGCGTTTTCAAACAATATTCGCCGTATTACGTCTCATACACCCAAAAATTTGACTTTTTGTCAAAATTTAATGCACAACGAGCCAATAAAAACCACTAATACTAACGCTCGGAATGCTCACGAAATTAACTGTTTGCATTGTTCAAATCTTATGTGGGTAGTGAGAATCCGAGGATGCTCTTGCCGCCCCCACACCTCCTCCCCGAGAGAAAATAGTGTCCTTGTTTTTCTATTGCTGCAAGTGTACTGGGAGGTCTAGCCATATAGAACTGGGCCCGTTTGCTCGAAGCGCTAACCGCATCCCTACTGAGCCTGTCACGTGACTGGCTCATTAGGGATGCGGGGAAACATGGCGGTGCCCCGGTCAGTGAGCGCCACTCGCTTTGGAAATATGTCGTTGTAGCTGCAATATCGGGCGCGTTAGTCAGCAACGAATGGTGCAGGAGGCTTTCGCTTTGCCTTACCTCACTTAAATCCCAAAGCGTGAGCAATGACCTCGCCGCATTTTTTAGATAGTCTTTTGATTCTGGCCACTCCTAAGCCTAAATGAACGCGATAATTGTCGGCATTGCCACGTCTTTGGAAGGTGGATTTCCTTGACCCAATCGGCCGGGTATTGATAGCACACAAAGCAGACAGCGTCCCAATAGACCTTTTTCTCAATTTCCAAAGCACCGAGGTGCATGCTACGAGTGTAGTTACACGCGTTGCACGTGCTGGCGTCTGCAGTAGTAATTGTTCAAAAGCAAAAAGTCTAAAACAAATTTTGCCTTGCACGCGCGTTCGTCAAAGCCTTATGATTATTTACTTCGAATCTTTTATAAGAGAAAGGCCAGCGCGCGCGGACCGTAGAATTACACTTCCAGCGTTCTCCTCGATGTTTGGGTAATTTAGAAAAAAAGATTTATTGGGGACGCTGTCTCCTTCTGTGTGCTATCACTACCCGGCCGATTGAGTCAAGGCAATCCGCTTTCCGAAGACGTTGCTATGCCTACAATTATCGCGTTCATTTAGGTTTAGGAATGGCCAGAATCGAAAGACCATCTAAAAAATGCGGCGAGGTCATTGCTCATGCTTTGCGATTTAAGTGAGGTAAGGCAAAGCGAAAGCCTCGTGCACCATTCGTTGCTGACTAACGCGCCCAATATTGAGGCTACAACGACATATTAGTTCCAAAGCGAGCGGCGCTCACTCACCGGAGCACCGGCATGTTTCCCCGCATACTTACAGAGCCCCCCAGTCAAGTGATTTCAAAATCCCTCGCCTCGGTACTGCGGCGAACTTTAGCTGCGGTTAGCGCTTCGAGCAAACGGGCCCTGGTCTTTTTTATTGACAAATTTCCGACAAATATTATGTCATCAAAACCAACTTCTTCAAAGAGCACATGAATACCCCTTTAAATCTGCCGATGGAGCGGGGTCGGGGCAAGAGGCCTTTTGGGACTTTCCGGAAAGGTGTATTGCTCCAAAATAAACTAGGTCCTCGGGGCTCCAAGCACGTGCGGTGTGATACACGGAAACGCAGAGTCCTTGCGTTCGATGGTATACGCAGTACTAAAACTCGCTATTATGTAGCATGGTTAAAAAAAAATCATGAAAAGTTTCTTTCAATAAGCGTCTGTAGAAGCCGGCAATTGCGACGTATCCATAATGTCGTTGGGGCGCGAAAGCAGGCGTGACGAAGAAAGGCGCATCTGGTGGCGGATCGTGTAAAACTTGGCTAGCGCCCCGTCCAGATGAGGAGTAATCGGACGACGAGGAGAAAGCTTCTGGCAAGCTATCACAGCCCCTTCATCTTCAATGCGACTTCCGCTTCCTGATTTGTAGTAAAGAGATGTGGTTAATCCTTCTGGACCAACTGGAAGATCAAGCGCGTTTAACTGTGGTCCCTTGTCCACGCATAGAGCATAGATTTAAGAACGGGACCAACTGAAACCATGGAGAGCGTTTGCAAATCAATGGCGGACGCCTCCTGCTGGTGGTATGTGCCCATGCATCGCGCTTTAGCGTGGCGAGGAGGAAAGAATTTTACCCGGATAGAGGCAGTCTTGCGTCCGTTAACTAATAATCGAGTGGTTATGTCTGTTTCGATTGACGACACGAACGAGCCGGTTCCGGGAAGAATAAAAGGACGTTTGTTTATTCAGTTATTGTAGTTGTAGGGTGTTATGGAAAGAAGGTAAAGAAGAGGGAAAGGATGAAGTTGCTACAGAGCGTGCGTCAGGATAACAGTGTGAGCGCTCATACCAAGTTCGGGGCGTGTCTCGTGACACAACCAAACACGATACATCTTCCTTTCTTTAAGGGAATGAAAAACAAAAGAACGTACAGCACGTCAACGGCGTAGTAGCTCGACACCCGGTGCGGGAACACTTGTCATAAGCCTTGAACAAAGTTCTCGCCATAGCCTAGCCGCTCTGGAGGTCTTCTATAACGCGTGGACCTTCTCAGCACTGGTGCTGTCGTGGCCACGCTGCCTGCGGGTCGCTGACGTTGTTCCGGTGTCTCGTCGTTTGAGTTTTCTTCATCCGACGAATATTCTCCGGAACCGTTGAACTGTTCTTTCGTTGCCAGCAGATGTTGGCAATTACGTCGTAAAACGTTGCCCTTTTCTGTGGCGACCTGATAAGACCTTGCCCGCGTCCTGTTCATTACCTTCGCCTTCGTTGCCTAGGTGTCGCACCTGATGCGGACCACTTGTCCTTCTTGCAATGCTGGAAGATGGCTCCTCTTCAGCTTAGTCTGATGATGTTTTTCTACCGCTGTGCGTGGTGTTTCGTTGAAGTCTGATATTGGCGTCCGCAGCTGCCGACCTTGAAGCAGCTCTCCTGGGGACTTGCCGTCTTCCAAAGGACTGGACCTGTAACTGAGCATTCCAAGCCAGAAATCGTTTTTTCCTTCGGTCGTTTTCTTAAGAATTCTTTTAACCACCTGCACCCCCTTGTCCGCTAGGCCGTTCGAGCGAGGAAACCTAGGGCTGAAAATGGTGTGTTTGAAATCGTAGTTCTTTGCAAAGCTGGCAAATTCTCGGCTCGTAAACTGCGGCCCGCCATCGGTACACACTTCTATGGGGATGCCATACCTTGCGAACATCGCACTTAGCCTATCGATGACTGTAGCGGACGACGTGTTGCGCAGCAATTCTACTTCTGAGAAGTTTGATAATGCGTCGTACGCGCACAGGTAAGACCTCCTGGCATACTCAAAAATGTCAACACCAATTCTGTACCACGCGTACTCAGGAACAAGGCGTATCATGAGAGGCTCACTAGGTTGCTTGTAAGCGTACTTTCTGCAAACTTCGCACTTGCTCACAAGGTCGTCAATGTTTGCATTAAGACCAGGCCAAAAGACGACACGGCGTGCTCGTGATTTGCACTTGTTAAGTCCCATGTGCCCATCTATAGCATATTTTAATGTATCTAGTTAGCTGATCTCCCAGGCAGCAACGTTCGAGCAGAGCGAAGAGATAAGAGTGTGACACCCTGTCAAAAGCTTTGCTTAGGTCTACTTGGAGGACTGCTATGGGGTGTTGCTGCGCCTCCGCTGTCTCATAGATAATTCTCCTTGTATGCGCGTTCGATGTAATGGATCTGCC